GGGTTCTATAATCGAAACACTGTTTCAACTCCAGCTCTGAGATCCCGGCTGGCTGAAAGCAGGTTACTGGGGTTTTGTTTAGCTTCTATAACAAATATTTGTAACAATGTTTCAAACTGCAAGCTCAGAGGGCGGCAGCCGCAGGCGGGGAATGTTGGCTTCCTCCGTCACTGAAGCAAGCAAGCCTCCTGTTCGCTTCAAGCTGCCTGGCTGCCGGCCACCATCTTGGCTGGCAGTTAATTTGCATAACACCCTGATTAACCAATGGGAAGGGTAGCGGAGGTACTGCTAATTACCATGTTTCTCTTTTATTAGATAGGATATATATATATATATATATATATATATATGATAACATTCTTCCTTCTAAATATTATTTATAGTTAATAAGGCAAAGGATTTTTCTACCATTAATAAATGAAATAGTAAAAATATTATCTATTTTATATTTATATTTTTAAATTTATATTATTATGACTGTTTTATAATGGATATTATATTAATAGAATAGTTCAGAGATATAATTTATAAGTAAATTAATATACATATACTATAAGAATGGGCACATATCAAAAATAAGGTCACTGAGAGAAAATTATTTCAAAGTAGCAATCTGTAATAATTCATGATGCCTACCTAGCCCCAGAGTTGGTGTTCAATAATATATGTTCAATGAATGAATAAACCTCTTCTCAAGGTTCATAGATGTTGTCACATATTGCAGAATTTCTTTTTTTAAGGTTGAATAATTTTTCATTTTATATATATATATATATATCACATTTTTCTTTATGCATTGAGGACATTATTCTGTGAAATAAGCTATTCACAGAAGGACAAAAAGTACATGATTCTAATTATGTGATGCATCTAAAGTAGTCAAACTCAGAGAAGCAAAGAATAGAATTGTCATTTTTAGGTGCTGAAATTAAGGGGTGACAGGCAACAGGCATAAAATTTCAGTTATGCAAGATGAGTAAGTTCTTGTGATCTGATGGACAGCATTGTGCCTATATATAACAATACTATATTGTACACTTAAAATGTATTACTAAAATAAATCTCTTAAGTGTTCTTACCAACATTAAAAAAATTTAATTAAAAAAATTGAAAGCCCTTCTACAGAAACCACAGCTATAAATGGAAGAACTGATGAGTAGATTAAGAGCATCAGTTATGAAAGATTTCTACCCAAGCAAAAACTCAGAAAAAAACATCTGAGAAGCATCATGTATCTATAAGTCTAGCGAAGGAGACATCACTGTAATCAATTGCAGTCATCCACATGAGTATTTCCTAAAAGGAAATGTAATAGAGAACCTCCCAAATTAATTCAATTCAATGAGGAATTTTTTAAAAATATATTTTATTGATTTTTTACAGAGAGGAAGGGAGAGGGATAAAGAGTTAGAAACATCAATGAGAGAGAAACATCAATCAGCTGCCAAGGCACATCCCCCACTGGGGATGTGCCCGCAACCGAGGTACATGCCCTTGACCGGAATCAAACCTGGGGCGCTTCAGTCCACAGGCCAACGCTCTATCCACTGAGCCAAACTGGCTAGGGCTCAATGAGGAATTACTGAGTGCCTCATATTTGACTCACAAATGAAGTACGTTAATATGAAATAAGTTATCTATGATTTATGATTTCTAAAAATTTATGTTTAGCTTTAGTGCACGTCTTCAAACTTCCACATGGAGGTGGGTGCAGACTAATGTTCAGAGAATCTGAGCCACTTGATGTGATTTCATTCTTTTTTTTTAAATATATTTTATTGATTTTTTACAGAGAGGAAGGGAGAGAGATAGAGAGTTAGAAACATCGATGAGAGAGAAACATCGATCAGCTGCCTCCTGCACATCTCCTACTGGGGATGTGCCCGAAACCCAGGTACATGCCCTTGACCGGAATCGAACCTGGGACCCTTCAGTCCGCAGGCCGACGCTCTATCCACTGAGCCAAACCGGTTTCGGCGTGATTTCATTCTTTAGTAGGTGTCCAGCTTCTTCATCACACCACATGCTCATCTTCTTCCTGCTCCTCACGGCCATGCTGGAGCTACACAGACTCAGGGATCAGCACTGGTAAAGCACCAATCTACACTCTCCTCACCTTGCTGATCAAGTGGTTCACACATCTTTCACATTTTTAAAAGGTCTTCCCCAATAAAGGTAGGGAGGCCCCAGCCAGGTGGCTCAGTTGGTTGGAGCATCATCCCATACACCAAAAGTTTGCAGGTTCAAGTCCTGGGTAGGGCACATATCTAGGTCAGGGCACATATGAGAGGCAATTGATTGATGTTTCTCTCTCTATCTTTCTTTTTCTCTTTTTCTCTCAAATCAATAAATATATTCTCAATGAGGACTTTTTAAAAAATAGCTAAGGGGAAAAATATCTCAAATCCCTTTTCTGGATCATGAACAATATGGAGAATAAGAACAAAAAAACAATAAAAAAATCTGAAAACAAGAGCTATGGAAGAATTAGGTGGATTATTAAAAATAATTATTATTACTCAGTAAAGATTAACAATGAAGGCAGTGAGCTAAGAAGCTCTTAGTGAACTCAGAAAACCACCAGGAAAAGGAGACCCCTCCAAACCGTTATTGAGTTCACGGGTTGGTGTTAGAGGGGACCGGCTGGCTTAAATTTCCATTCCATTGTGATGTCTGGCTCTATGAGCTGGCTCCCTGCAGGCATAGCATTTTGCATCATGTCACCTGCCCTAGGGTTCTGACTGATGGACTTTAAGAACCTGCTGTGGAAATGCCACTGGCTGAATGTACCCCTGGACACCCAGGGTCATGAGAAGTTACTCATGGAATGTGACCGACAGGAAGAGCAATAGGGTTAAAAGATTTCCTTCCTCTCCTCAGATCCTTGCTTTTCTGGAGACCCACCTACCAGCCTCAAATATTCTGCTTGGGAGAACTTTGCAACAGATCAAGTTGCAAAATCAACAAGATCAGTGAGGATACTTGCAAGGAAAGCTGAGTTCTTAAAAACAGGAAGAGGAGTGTGTCTGGCTGCTTCTTCCATCAGACCCTCTGTGGTGCTCCTTCCTATAATGACACCAGCAGGCATGGGCCTACACCTAAAGGGGGACTGATTTGATAAGAAATAAAACACTTCAGCACAGAAAAGTCTGAGCAAGTCTTTATTGCAAATGTTTCCATTTTAGCAGAAAACAACCAGGAAGAAACCTGGATGGGCTACTGCAATCAAAACTTTTTACCTCAACAATAAAAAGGACACCATTTAAATAAGTAAAATATTTTATTTCTTTGCCAGTTTTTGCCAATTTATACTCCCTTATGGAGATTGCTTCTGCACCCCGTCAAATTCTCAAACAGTGAGCTGAAAAATCTTGCATAGTGTTTTCTATAAGAAACCAAGGTACTTAATGATCACCAGGCCCTACATCACTAGCAACAAAGAAGGAATTTCATCATCTAAAATGCTACCTAAGCTTCTACATCTAAAAATTAGGTCTGAATAAAAATAACTCAAGATATTTGTACTGGGATTTTACTCAGATACTGAAAAATGTGGGTCATAATAAACCCAAAGCAGAAAAAAAAATTTTTTTAAAGGCAACTTTCTCCAGTTTTCATTTTAAATGGGGGTGTCAAACTGTCATTTCCCAGAAAAGTCCATTATTTCTACATGAATTCCACCAACTGATGTGTCTGCCTAACAGTGACAATGATGTCATTAGCGGACAGATGCGCCAGGTCCCCCAGCACACAGCCACTGTCAGGAGCTGAGCACTCCCAGTGACAACTGTTTCCAGGCCCCAGTGAATCTGATGTTTCTCCAGCTAAAAAACAAACAAACAAAAAACAACAACAAAAAAAAAAGAAAATGAAATCTAACGGTCCTCTGGCCGAGGCTGCAGAGGCTCCCAGGAAGCATGGTGCTCCGGGAAGAGGACTTGGCTCCACATGTTGGTGGCTTCTGGAGGCTTTTAGGACACTACAGAAGCACATGTGACAGCACTAAACCAGGATGCAGTCGCCACTTCAGTGGGTCTGGGCCTCCACACAGCACCACAGAGGATCTGATGGAAGAAGCAGCCAGACACACCCCTCTTCCTGTTTATAAGAGCTCAGCTTTCCTTGCAAGTTTCCTCAAAGAAAGTAGCAAAACCACGTAAGACAAGTTTTCTTAAGTTTATTCTTAATCACCAACTAATCTGGAGTGAAACCGTTCCTCAACTCTCCTACTATCCCGTAAAACCCAACCTTCCCCTCCCCTCACATCCCCCTCCCACCCCACATACACACACCCCATATACACACACCATGTACCCATCCTTCCTCTGTCCCTCTGACCATGCCCCAACCCACTCTGGCATCCCTTTTAAAAAAATGTTTTTATTGATTTGAGAGAGAGAGAGAGAGAGAGAGAGAGAGAGAGAGAGAGGTAAAGAGAGAGAAAAAGACAACATCCATCAGCTGCCTCCAGTACCTACCCTGACCGAGACTGAACTTGAAACCGGGGCATGTGCCCTGACCAGTCATCAAACTGGGAACCCCTTGGTGCACAGGACAATGTTCAACCAACAGGGTCACAGTGACCAGGGCTGGTGTTGCTTTGTCTCCCCCACCCCCTGGGCCCTAGGCCTCGAGACCTTGCTGTGCAGACTGCAAATCTGGCCAATGCTGAGAATGGCAATACAGAGGAGCAACTGTGGGAACTGAGGGCTCAAGAACTGTGGCACTGGGCCTGGCCTTGAAGGTGCTGGCAGGGCCATTTTCCACAGGGCACCCCATACATTTCAAAATGACAGAGGGCATCTCTAGAAGTAGTGAACACCCCAAGAAGGGTGGTCTCCGGGAAAGAAACATGGCAGAAATGAAAACACCCAGACCACAGATCTGCAACACATACCATCAAATATTCCCTCTAAAATCCTTAGCATCCCTTCCCCAAAAGGAACAGAAATGGGGGAAGGGGATGAGAAAGGGAGAGGAAGAGAGGAATGAAACAAAGAAGGAGAGAAGGAGGGAGAGAGGAAGGATGTCAATTTGCAATTCTACTCTGGGGTAAAAAGTGTAGTTAAGAAATGGCTGCTCCATACAGATAGAAATCTGAGGTTCAATCCCAGGTTCAGGGAGCAGGATTCTCAGGTGGGAGCCAGCCCTAAAAGCCTTCCACGGAGAGCGTGTGGTTGAGCGCATAGGCATCGCTATCCTCTTCCTCCAACAGTAGCTTGTCGATGGTCAGGGAACTGATGGCTCTCCTGGGGTCTTCCATGTCCTGAAGGACTGGCTCAGGGATGGAGATGGGGAGCTGGACAAACTGGGGCCCGGGCAGAGCGGGGGCCGGAGGCTGGTACTGCAGGGTGGAGGTGGGCAGCGTGGACAGGGGCTGAGGCCACGGGAAGTAGGTGAGCGGTGCCTGGTGCTCTGGGCCCTCCAGCTGGGGGCCCACTGTGGGTGTGGTGGCACTTCTCGTCTGCGATGGGGGAGACACAGGACCGAGGGTTAGCAGCCCTGGAGGATTCACTGCCACCCTTGTCCTCTAGGGGGTCTGTTTCCCTTCAACTAGGCTCTTTCCTGCTGTTTCACTCCAGGGGGCTCCACCTGCACCTACTCAAAGCCTCCCTGACAGGAGAGGCTCACACAGGCTGTATCCCTTACTCTGTGACTCACTAGCTCCAAGTCCTTGCTCATGCTACTATCCCATCAGAAGCCTATTTCATTGAATATAAAATGCAACCCAACTTCAGAAATACTAAAATCGATGAAAATACTGTATGCTAAGCAATAAGCCTGCCGCATAGCATAGTAGCTATATCACAAAGGTGGCACAGTGCTACCCACAAATGAAGACAGTCCTCACTCCACACAGCAGCAGCAGCACTCTGAGGTCCCCTTGGGCTAACAGAACACAGCTCACTCACCTCTCATGACCTCATCGTCTTCTATGTGTCAGCTGGGCCCCTGTGGCCATTTCTGAGACCTCTAAACATCAAGGCCATGTTCCCAGGGACTCTGCAAACAATGCCTCTCACCTGCACAGGACCACCCTACAAACCCAGGTCTAGCCTCCTAGACAGACAGAGCCTGTATTCTTACTATCTCCTATCGCTGAGGAAGCAGATGGAAGAGGAATGTCTGCATGGAATGATGTGTGACAGGCCAAAGTCTCCCTCTACCACTCCTGCCTTCCCTGTCATATTTCTCTCCGGTTGCCACCATGTTTTTGAGACTAAGTTATTATAATTATTTAGGAAGAGCTTATTTCAATGACCTAGAGACCTTGTTATAACAGAGATTCCAGTACAGGAGGTCAGGGGTGGAGCCTGGATTCTGCAGGTCTAATCAGATCCCAGCTGATGCCCATGTGGCTGGTCCAGGGACCACAAATTAAGTAGTAAAGCTTAAGGGCTTTTGCCTATGGAATGATGGAGCTGGAAAGGGTCTCAGAGGCCTTCTGGCTTCCCAGCAAGGGCTTATTATTTTCAGTATTCCAAAAATCCAAAGGAAACCCTTCATTTTTGAGTTATAAACCTGTGCAGGTCTACTACAACTGCAGGTTATTTTGCTCAGGGATAGAATTACAGCAACCCAGTACCATAACAGATCTTATCTCCTGCTGATCAAGAGTGCCCACTGGGTAGCTCTAACCAGCTTTGATGAGTCAATTTACAAAGTGGCAGAACAAATAAATTATTTCTTAATAAATATAGCTTGTTTGATACACAGAAACTTTCAAAGCAGGAGGTGGGAATGATGAAAGGATAAATAATGAAAAGAATCCTTGGTCATGAAATGGTTGGGAACCATTAAATCTGCCACCCCCACTCCCACCCCAAGCACTCTGATATGCAAATGAGTTAGTTTCCTGGGAAAGGTGTTGAATTAACTCCTTTCTATCCACCACCATCCAGGCCCCAGAACCGGTTTGCTGGGTAATCAGATGAGCATGGGGTAGGAGGGCTCCTGCAGGCCATGCCTGGATGAGACTTGAAGGGCAGGGCATCAGGATAACACTTAACCCTTGAGGGAAATGCAGGGGTCTTAGAGAACCAAAGCAAGCTTCGTCATCAAGGTGGGCTCTACAGCTACTCATGAGGCCCCAAGTCCACCTCCCGTTTTCTTGGGACTAAAGCTGGACACAGTTGTAACCAGAGGACTTTTCTCCTCTTGAACATTTGGGGGATTCCCAGGTCTTTGATCAAATGGGTACCATTCACATAAAACTATTTCTATTCCTTCCTACATTCTTGGGAACAGGCCATTCCTTTCCTATTGGGCACTTGAAGGCATCCCTTGGTTAATGTAGTTGGTCGACTTTGAGACAATTATAAAAACTGGCATTAATCAAGTGCTTTCTGTATGCCAGGAACTATACTAAGCCAAGGAACTATGCTGAGACCTCTACAGGCATCATCCCATTGATCCTGACATCAACTCTCTTGTTAGTATTCCCATTTTACAGATGAGGACACCAAGGCTCAGAGAAATTAAGTCACTTAGCCCAGGGCCAGGGATTTGAATTCAAACCATCTGACACTAGAGGCATAATTCAAAAAATCTGACCTACAGGTGGGTCAGATTCCATCAAAAGTACAGTTTTCTGAAAATGTATATCGCCTATTGTTCCACCTAGAAATCTCTGGTAAATCCCATTGTTAAGTGAGTGATCACCCATTCACTTATCAGAATAGAAAGAAAGGTCTGGCTGTGGCAGGAGACCCCATCAAGATCTCACGTGGAACCTTTTTGCTGCTTACAGGGCAGCAGGGATGCTTCAGAACAGAGAAGCAGACATCCCAACCTGAGGAATATTGGGCATGGCAAGGGAGGCCATAGCCTTCTTTGTGGAGGATATTTTAGGTCAATGGGAATGCGAGCAGGCCTCCCAGGAGGATGAGGTGAGTTTAGGTGACCTAATTATCCTGGGAATCGGTAACAAGAAAGATCAAGAATCAAGAAGCCAGCCATGTTCTACAAGAGTGCCCTAGACATGGGTTGGTTCAGCCCCACCTTTGAGTGACATACCGTGACATTAGTGATGAGTGGCTGGGAGGCGTAGGTCAGCACAGAGGAGGGCCCCACAACAGTGTAGCTGGGGCACACCGGCTGCACATACATGTCAGCTGAGTAAGGGCAGCTGACAGCTTCATGGGACACATACTCAGTGTAGGGTGTCCACGGGGCCAGGGGCTGGAGGGTGGCAGGGGCAGGCTGAGAGAGCCAGCCGGCACACAGGGCCCCCTCCTCCGTCACGGTGGAGGCAGCGACCTCCATGTCAAGGCAGGAAGGACCTGTGGGAAGAAGGAAATGACAGAGCTGCAGGGCCGCCAGATGCGGGGCCTGGAGGAGGCCAGGGCTGTGGGGAGCGCTTACCCACTGTGGTGTACGTGGCCAGGGGCTGATGGGGCAGCACCACCTGGGGGAGAAGAAGACTAGGGTCAGTGTTCAGCCATCTCCAACTCTCCCCCCGCCTCCCCCCCCCCCCTCCCGGGCGCAGGAAATTTGCCCCAACGGCCCCAGGGCAGGAGCGTATAGGGGAGAATCAGCCTTGTTAGAACAAAAAACGTGCCCCCATCCCAACCACCCCCACTGACACTTTTGAGGGATTCCTGTTTCCATTTAGCAAGAAGGCTGTGCCCTTGGGGAACTGGCATTGCCCTCTTCCTGGGGGTGGGGAGATCAACTCGCACCAGGATGTGGGAGCCATTCACTCACTCAGGCCTTAGCTTCGTTCAGTGGGCCAGCCAGCCAGCCCGCATCCCTCATCCCATTTCATGAACCCACCAACCTGTTCTACCCTAAGTCCCTAAGTCCATTCTCCGGCAGCCATAACCATGGCTAGGGTTGCCTTCGTGCCCCACGAGCATCCCATGGGGCAAGGAAGCACACTCCTGCCCCACCTCTCCCATCCCACCCCGACGCACACCGGCCCCGTGGCCCCCTCACCGCGGTCGGTGTCACCGCCGCCCCGCTGCTGGCATGGCCACGTTTCCGCCTCAGCAGTTCCTTCACTGGCTCCTTCACGCGGACGCCCTGGTACGGCCGGGCCGGGGCCGGGGCTTGATCTGGCGCTGTGGCTGTGGAAACAGTGTCCCGGGGGCTCATCTCCCTTCTCGGTCAAATCCCACCTCAAAGTGTCTCTCTCCTCAAGGCTCTGCCTGCTCACCTAAGCAGCGTCTGAGCACAGAGGGCCACATGAGACTTCCTAGCATATTTCTCCCATATTGTCACTCCTCCTGCCCCAGCCCCCTGTGGCTCCCCTCCACCCAGACGATTAACACCGAGCCCCTTCGTCTAGACTGAAAGGGCCCCAGAGGGTGATGCCAATGGGTGATCCATTTCTCCAACCCTGTGCACGCTGCCTGTGACATAAACCCTGACTCCAGCCAGGTCTACCTAGACTTCTCCACATGTTCTTTGCCTGTCTCACCGTTTCATCTTCGCTTGAGATGTCACATGGTCGGGATTCCCTCTCACTTTTCTCAACCCCTTGCTTCTTCCTAACCAAGACTGGTGCACCGTTCCTGGCCGACGCCTGCAGCCCACAGAACTTGTTTCATCCTACTATCTCTCAAGCCGTCCAGACCTAGTTAGTATTCATCACAGGGGGCAGCAGAGGATGACAGTTAGAGCAGGGACTCTGAGTCAGATGGCACAGGCCTCTAAACCTTCTCTGTGACATTCGTGAGCTGTGTGATCCTGGGCAAGTTACTATACCTCTCTGTGCTTCTGACCCTACAATTTCTTATTAAAGGAATGTTATAAGGAATCACTGACATAGTAAATGGGAAGCATAGTATATGCTTAGTATGAAATCAGATGCAGGGTAAGCATTCAATACATTTTTAGTCTGCTATGTAATAATTAGTTATCTTTTTCGGTGTAAATTTCTAATGCCCCTAACTAGATTCTAAACTTTTCAAGGTCAGATATTGTACCTTATTTCTCTAAACCTTCCCAAGTGGCATATTCATAATAAGCGTAGTAAGTTATTTGCTGAGTCATTGATTGGGGGATAATTTAAAATGTGCTGTCTGTCAATCATCTTCCCTTCCCCTCTCCTGGGCCTTTAGAATGGGCTGGAGCAAACGGTTCCCACTTTCCCCATGGCTCCCGGGATACATGACAAATACCCAATGGTGACCCATGTGCCTGGGTCTCTAGGCTTGCTGCAGAGAGAGGGTCCCCTCTGCCTTTTGTCATCAAAGCCGGGAAACTAAAGCGTGGAGCTCAACAGGGCTCTTTCTGTCCTGGCTGAGCAAGTCCGCAGCAGCCATCACTGGGCAGTGACCATCTGCCTGCCCCGACAGTCCACAGCCCAGGGTGACATGCAGCACTGGCCCTTAGAACTCATTATCATCCACCGATAAGGGCCACAGGGACCGGGCTCTGAATCAAAAGCCCGGAAGCCTGGGTATCTGTTAAATCCGGATCCGCAGCACTGCCCGGGTTGAACTTTGCTCGGTAAATACCCAGCTGATAAGCTCCCGTGCCCGACTCAGCACCAGACCTCCATCTGTGCTCCAGGCACACACATGGCCTGGCCTCCGGGCTCAGCAGGTGGAGAAGGCAACAGGAAGTGGTGGGAAGGGGTGTCTCAGAGCCCCAGGAACACATGACGTGGAGTCAGAGAACCCCAAACTCAGATGCATTCGTGGGGGCTTTTGGACCTGGCCAAGTCACAATGCAAAGTACAGGTACCCAGGCCCTGCACCTGGACAGTCTGGTTCTGGGGATTTAATGTTGGCCTAGGAATCCTAGGACTTATAAAAATCCCTCAGGTGATTCGGAAACTGTGCCGAGGTGAGAACCACTAATAATTCATTCCTTGATGTAATACAAGAAACTTCCTCCAACATCCTGATAGGACATGAGTTACCCTCTTTTTAATTTGCGCTGTCATAACAAGGGATCTCTACCGGTATTCATTCATTCTTCCAGATGTCCCTAGGCACTAGGAATGCAGCATGGAAGAAGATAGGTGTGGCCGCTGCTCACAAGCATCTCGCAGTCCAGTGGGAGAGACGAGCATGAATGAAACATTCACAACTGTGAATTCAGCCTGAAATGGGAGAGCATACCAGAGGGAGCCCGCCTGTTACCTGTGCCCCAGGACCACCTGTGCGCCATCACCTTTGTTCTAAGTAGCAGTGAAAATGGGCCTGAGAACCAAAAATGCCTGTATTCAGATGATTTATTTAAACGCCCTGGGCCTCAATTTTCTCATCTGTGAAATAGAGATTATAACTCCTGTTTCACACAATAGTTGTGAAGATTTAACTATTGTTAAACCATATCCAGCATATAGTAGATGTTAAAAACATGCTATTTTTGCCTGGCTGGTGTGGCTCAGCTGTTGAGCATCGACTTAGGAACCAAAGAAATCACTGGTTCAGGGCACATGCCTGGCCTCGATCCCCAGTGGGGGGCATGCAGGATGTAACCAATCAATGAATCTCTCTCATCGTTGATATTTCTATCTCTCTTTCCCTCTCCCTTACTCTCTGAAATTAATAAAAGTATATTAAAAAAACAAAACAAAAAATATGGTAACAAAACACCAATTTTCCTGGCATTGCCTTCCAATGAAACTCACAATTTATAATCCATTAATAGTGTCCTTATCTGTAAAAAGAAGATAATGATGACGGTATGTACTTTGTAGGGTAATTTGAGAATTTACATGTAAATACTTAGAATAGAGCTTGCACTGAGTAAGCACCAAATCAATGTGAGCTCAAACAGCGTGGGACAAAAGTAGGCTTACAGTTGTGAGTGTGCAAAAACACAGAGCTTGTTCCTGTATTATTATTTATTAATCATTACATTATTTTCCATATGAACAACTGTAAGCCTATTTTTGCCCCACCTGTATATTCATGAGTAGCAGTAATAGTAGCAGCCCTTCCCAGCATCTGTAGACAGATACCAGGTCCCCTGTACAGTGTCTTCAGCTATTTCTTAAAGACGTGTTTTGAATCCCTCCAAACCTTCTTTCTACTCGCATTACTCCTGCACAAGTTCCACTTTCACTTCCCCTTATGACGGGCGATGCCCAGTGCTGACCACAGACCCCAGGTGTGGCCTGACAGCTCAGAGAAGAGGACACCTGTCCTCCCACACTCTGCTTACTCATTCTCACGGCCACCCTTGCCACATCAGCTTTGTTCATCCCTCAGCCTAAACTTGTCTCTCACTGGGTTTCCAGCTATTCTTAAGCGCAAAGTGCAGCCTCAGGCATTCTGCCTTCAGAAGAAACTCGGGACACAGGGTTGTTTGGGGGTCTGAGCACTGCGGTCACACTCTAGTTGGGGGACAAGAAAGACTTGAACCACAGGCACACTTCTCAGACCAGATCAAAGAAAGGTCTATAGCTAACCCTCCACCCCGCCTGATTTGCATGTACATTTCTGAGGAAGAACCGAGACCCTGAGAACATGCCGGATCCCACTATCTCCCAGGAATGGCCACCTCTAACCCTTGGCCGCAAAGTGACCAGCTGGGCATTTCGAGGACCTTGTCAAGCAAAGGCTTCCTGCCTCCTGTTGTTTTTGAATCAATGAACAAAGAGGGCTTGGGGGAGGTGCTATGAGCAGAGGGCATCACCCTCTGATGTCTGGAGTTCCTGGAACCCACAGTGTCAACAGGTGTGCCCTGGCACAACCACCATATGGAGAGCAGTAACTATCGCAGTCGCAGAACTCCCACGGCTCCCAGGGAGCTCCTGACTGCCCACCCATGAGTCCACCACCAGCAGCTGCCAAAGATTCCTGTAACTGACTGCAGGCAGGAGGCCACGCGAGGGTGCTTCTGAGAGTATCTTCGCAAAGTGAAGTGACCGGGAAACATCAGAATCTGCAGCCTCAAGACAATTCCCACAGGATCCCGACAGCCAAGTGTATTTGCAAGGTGAAAACTTGCAGTTGGTGCATTTCACACTGACCTTTGTAACAATAAACATTTCTAATGCCACTATAAACACTGTAATCCCTACTGCCACCAGCGTGAGACATGAGCCCACGAATACAAGTTTGGAAGAGGAGAAACAGTTTTTCTGAAATCATGATTGCCTTGTCTTGCAGCTTCTGGATCTTTGCATTGAACTAGCTTTAACAAAACCAAACCAGAATATTTAAAAGAACAATGTAAGATTATTAAAAATAATTTCTTAAAATAATAAAAATAATAATAATAAATAAAAGAAGAGCCAAAGAAAATTAAACAGGAGATTGAAATGAGGTTACACAGAAGATGAAAATCCAATTTCCCAAAGTAGAGTTGACCAGAAATTTTAAATTTCCCCTGATCAAACTGCAGCTCCAGGTCGTACACCCTCAAAGCCTGAAGCTTTCTCACCACGTGTCCTGTGCTCTGAAGGCCCTTCAGGTCTCCCGCGGGCATCCACATGTCCATCACTGGGGAAAATCTTTTCACCTAAACACAAGCCTCTTGGCCTCTTTGGGAATCTCCTTTTTCAGGAGAACTTCAGCCATCCTGCCTTTCCACCACGGGAAATCAGTCACCAGTGGAGTCTGGGGGTGGGGGGTGGGGAACACACAAAACTCATTTACAGAAAAACCTATGAATTCGCCCCAATAAGGGCTTCCCTTTTCCAAAAAGAGCAATGAAAAAAATCTGAAGGTATAAAAAGTCAGCAGAGACATTTCAGTTCCCCCTGCCACACACCCGGACATGCCCCACATCACAAAAATAAGAGTCGTGCAGCTGCTGTTCCGCTGCGGAGCAGGGACCATGACAACTTCAAGCTGATGGGTCTCCTCAGACTGCGCTCTGGCTGCATGTAGGCACTGTGCTTGCTCTGCACCAGGCGTACGGGACATGTGGATTCTCCTGATTTAAATAAACAGGGCCCGCCAGTGCCTGGATGAAGGCATAATAAATGCCACTGAGGAAATATGCAAAATTGTCGGCACTTGTTTATTTAGTGACCCCATGCAAACTGCATCTATGCCAAAGCGAGGAAACTGCTTGGCTAAGGAGGTAGGTCCCTCCTAATGGCTCTGAGCAGAGCCCATACCCTGTAACGGGTCCCTGTAACTTCTCCTCTGGGAGGCTT